CTGCCTATATTTCTTAATTATATAATATAAAATCTCTAAATTATGAAGAAAAGTTGATCTTTTAAGAGTTTTGTTTTGCTTTATTTAGGGTTCAAATCCAAAAGTCTGACGCAACAACTCATCAAGAATTGTTGACCAAGCAATCACCTTAGAAGTTTGGACAATCCGGATTGAAAAGAAATGCACATATTTTCTTACTACTGTTTGCTTTTGATGCCCAAGGAGCTATCCTTTCTTGATTCATTTTTTTTTAAGTTGGAGAGCTCAGACAAGATTTTTCAGGAAAGACATTCCTTAAGAATCTTCCTATACATTAAAGTTTTCTGTTCTCCATATTCTTGGGCAGAAAGATAAGTCTGAAGTTGCAGGTCTGAAGCTGAAATGTCTCATTTGGTGAATTTCCACTCCAATGTACTGTTGGTATTGTTTTGTTCTTGTTTTTTATTGAAAGACAAATATTTGCTCACATATTTTGAACACCCCAATTTTGTCATTTTGGTAGAAATTAATTAATTCTCTAATGAAAATAAGCCAAAAAAAATCACAAGAAACTTGGAAGTGTGAAAGAAATATTAAACAACCATTAATAGTGAATAGAAGCATCTTGATTGTTTTAAGCACTAACATCAAAATAGAACTTCAGTTTAGAACAAAATTATATAAACAGGATCTGTTTTATATGGCTCTTCCTGACATTATGTTGTGACAATGTCCTTATTAACTAAACTAGTTCTGTCAGATATTTATATAACTCAATTCCCAGTAAAGTTAAAGTGACCTTTGTTTCTATATAAAAATTTTGTTTAAATAAATTAGTATCATTAAAGAAAGATTTTGAACTGCCGACCAGTAGGTCATGTCTGCACTGCAGATGTACTCCATTTGGCCCGAAAAATGTTGGCCACATAGTGTTTTCAGCTGTTTCCAACTTATTTCCAATATTTTAAAAATCAGGAGTTCTTGCATAAACGTTCAGATTCCCAACTTTTAAAATGAAGTCCGATAGTCTGTCAGCTCTGGAACCGCATTGTCTAATAGCAATACTCTTTTAGCTGAGTGGGGGCGGGGCAATCACAATTGGTTGCCTGCCAAATACCCCACCTCTTGCTTGCTTATTCAGAACTCTTTTGATGTCCAGTTATAAAGCCCAATTACTCTGAAACAATCATAATAACCTCACTTCTCTTCCCAGTTGTTGATTTAAAGGTGAGCATATACTCCTTCCACC